AGTTTTGAAGCCACGGCAGAAGCGTCAGCCAATCGAATCATATGCCAGTACAAGCTCTAGCCAATCAAACCGCTGCTTGTATGTCAGGGGCGGGAGATTCATGTGATTGGTTGTTGGTCGAATTTCAGACACGCCCGCCGGCAAGCTTCAACGCACGCCGCTGTGTGGACGGGCCGTTAGAGTTGTACCCCCTAGATCAGGTCTCTAGTAATGTGTGCTCTAAGTGCACCAGATTGAAGCATTTTACTTTAAATGTTCAAACATTTCTTCCCGGGGGGGCATACCCCCGGACCCCCCTAGAGGATGTGATGTCCTCACCCCAATTAAAACATGTTCATATAATACTGAATACATTTGAAGCCTTTTTGATGTATATGACCTATGTCAATACGTTTCTGTTTTTGTAGTGCATTGGTCTTTTGTAGAGATTTTTCATTTATTTTTTATATATTCTATTGTGTATCCCTTGGTTACTTTTATTTGTTCTACTGAACGATTTTCTGGCAGGGAGGGGCGCCAGCTAAAATCTCGCCTAGGGCAGCAAATTGGTTAGAACCGGCCCTGATGGTGTAGGAAACGGGCTCTGTGTTACAAGACGGGTCGGGGGTTTGGCGGTACCACTGCAGACTCTCTGCACACACACACACACACCGCTGCAGACTCTCTGCACGAAGGAGCCACGGTGCTGCAGCTCCTGATCGGAGCAGAGACACACGTTCACTAAGCAGAAAAACGATATCCTGTCACAGAGATCTGCTATTTGAAATGTTAAAGTCAACACATATCGACCCTAAATAAAGTCTATATTAAGAACGAGAGATGTTTTGACATTATGGCTTAAACAAATGACAAATGAGCGAGGGCGATGACGTCAGAGCATCGTCCTATGTGCCGGGGCTGAGCCCCGGACAGCCCCGGCCCAATTTAACCCCTGGTTAGAGGCCCTATTTTATCAGTATGTCTGGACTGCACAGCAGTTACAATGGTCAAACTACATTAGAACAGAATTGTCCCCATTTTGTCGTTAATAGTTACTAACATTAGATATTTTAATGAGATATGGACCGCAAAACAAAAAATGTCCCTGATTTTCATTTTTGAAATTAAGTCACCGAATGCAAGTAGTCGCCTTAGCTTATTTTGTTATGAGATGTGAATTACTGTTCAATTTAGTTGATGTAATAATCATTTGGTTTATTTTACATTAAAAAAAGGTCTTATGTTTTTTTTGGGGGGGAGGCCCTTTTTCCAGTTTAGAGCAATAGCCCCTCCAAATGTCTGTGCACGTCCCTGGATAGGTGTGTGGGCTGTCTTTCATTTTGACACACAGAACAATGGGGGCTATCCACCCTTATCCACAATGTAAAGTAATTCACACAGCCTCTTCCCTCTTCTCTCTGTGAGGAGCAGCAGGTTCAGCTTTCAGAACAAAGTAAAATGGCATTAATTTTTTTAATATGTCGTGTAGTAATAGATTTATTTATTTTTCTTCTCAAGAGAGTACCAGAATGTGTATTTTATGTTAGTAGCCTATTTCAAAACTAAAACAAAAAAAATATCCTGGGGGAGAATCCCCCCAGACCACCCTGCAGGGGTTGGGTTTTCAGCATGTCAACTCTTTCACCTGTGGAGAAATTGCAGGATTGGCTCCAGGTCGCCCTTTTTATTTACTACAAGACAAATGTGCCTTCTTATTTCATACAGTTCAATTTGGATTGAGACAGGGAAATAATCTAAACCTCACGCGTGGCGTTTCACTGTCAAGGGGAGCGTGTATGTAATTACATTGCAAATACTGACATGAGCCCCACCACTGTATGGGTTAGCCCTACCATAGATTACCCAACAAAAATACTCTCTCGCAACTGCCGACCCGTATTGCGCATGCTCAGATCTAAGAACCAGTAGAAATGATAAAAAAAGTAAAAGTCTGCTGCTTATTGTTCTACTAGGCCAAAATAGAGTCAAAGAGTATATGAGAGTGAGAGTGTGTTAATTAATATATTTGGCAGTTTGGAGTAAGTCTGTAGATTTGTTTGTGTGTGTGTGTTTCATGTATAGCTCTCACGATAATTAATTTTGTTGGATACATTTTCCCGGAAATGATTGCGATAAACGATAATATTGTCGGCACCGTTGTATGACCATTTTAGACCACTGACATAATGATAATATATAATAATAATTCAAGTACATCCTTTCAAACTGCTAGTCACATCCTCATGTAAATGGCAATTTATCGAGTTCATTTTTATTTATCGTACGATACGTCAATTAATTGCTTATCGCGACAGGTAGGCCTACACAATAAAACAGTGGAAACAAACATGTGTTTGACTTTCAATAGTGAATGAAACTTTGTGCCCTTTATAGTCTGTGTCCAATATTGTGTATTTGTATATATTGTATATATATCCTATATATATATATATATGCTAAGGTCCCGCTGCTGACACGATAGCAGTCATTTCGTGCGCATATGTAATTAAACCCATGATATCAAATCAAAATCTCACTCCAGCCAGGTACCCAAAGTTGGCAACCCTGCTGTCAATCAAATGTAGTGGAGTAAAAAGTAGAATGTGAGGTTCAAGATGCATGAAAAGTACAGTACCTCAGTAAATGTACTTATATACTCTTCCCTTCACAGTGTTGCTACTTTTACTCAGGTTACTTCACGTTTATTTCAACAACAATCATGACTTTTTTCACCAACTGGTCTGGTCATCACCACTAACGGTCTCATTCGACAGCCTAGCAACAGTACAAGCTAGCTTAGCAACGGTCTCTTTCGACAGCCTAGCAACAGTACAAGCTAGCTTAGCTCATTGGCATTAAATGCCAAACTCACAGATGGGTGCTCCATAAAGTCGTGCTCGCTCTCCACCCAGGCTCCCACCGCCAACACAGCATGGTTCCTCTCGGCTTTACCTTGTTGACTCGTCCGGAGGCTGGGGCAGACCCGGCGGCAGACATACGTCTCTGGGCGGGCATTTGATTTACCAGGGCGGGCCCACCCCGAAATTCACATTTCCCGGGAAATCTCGAGATTTGTCAAAGTGGGGGGGGGTTTAGGTTGCCATAAGGCTGTTGACGGTCTTATTATAGGCTACATCCATTGGTTGGTTTTGTGGCACATTTGTAACGCTGTGCCAACTTGGGCAAGCATGCAGGCAAACTTGAGCACACACAGGGTGGAGAGGTGAGTAAGGTTGAGCGATTGAGAGAAAGGGAGAGAGAGAGAGATTGAGCGAGGCAGAGAGCATGTGCAGCGGTCTGCTTGCGCACAGAGCAGGAGTTTGTGAGAGCCGGCTTGAGAGTCAATTTCTCTTCAAAATATAATTGATTGCCAGCCTCCCTTGTCCCTGGCTGGCTTGCTAGCTCGTTGGTAACTGATGTCTTCTAGTGTGCCTGCATCTGGCGCTGAGTTGCCATATTCCTTTCAAGTGTATAAGTGTGAACCACTTCCTGATATCCATTGTTGCAGATACATATAAATGATAATAGCCAAACTAACCTAGCAAGCGTAAACTGACAGGCTGCTGTGCCGCATCTCACTCAAAAACCCACACGACTCAACCCAGCGAAAAACCAGTCTCGCGCGCAGCCTTTCATTCAGAATTTCATTCAGAATTTCATAGCATAATAAAAACAATTATATTAAACTAATCTTTCAACATAGTTTAAAACAAAAATAAATATTGGGACAAAGCCCTACAAATAACAACAATAAACATAATCAGTGGCGGCTCCAGAGTGTTTTTGTTGGGTAATCTATGGTAGGGCTAACCCATACAGTGGTGGGGCTCAAGTCAGTATTTGCAATGTAATTACATACACGCTCCCCTTGACAGTGAAACGCCAAGCGTGAGGTTTAGATTATTTCCCTGTCTCAATCCAAATTGAACTGTATGAAATAAAAAGGCACATTTGTGTTGTAGTAAATAAAAAGGACGACCAGCTGGAGCCAATCCTGCAATTTCCCCACAGGTGAAAGAGTTGACATGCTGAAAACCCAACCCCTGCAAGGGGATCTGGGGGGGATTCTCCCCCAGGAAATACTAACATAAAATACACATTCTGGTACTCTCTTGAGAAGAACAATAAATAAATCTATTACTACACGACATATTTAAAAAATGAATGCCATTTTAGTTTTCTGTTACTTTGTTCTGAAAGCTGAACCTGCTGCTCCTCACAGAGAGAAGAGGCTGTGTGAATGACTTTACATTGTGGATAAGGGTGGATAGCCCCCATTGTTCTGTGTGTCAAAATGAAAGACAACCCACACACCTATCAATCATCAAACCGTGGGGTCTTATTTCATTACGTGTTGATTTCTATCAACACGTAATGTTGTATCGATGTATATAGAGATCAGCGACGTGCAGTCAGGGGAGGCAGAGCCTCACCTGTCATACTCCAATGTAACGGAAAAACAACTAAAGAAAAACGAAATAGTAATAATAATAAAATGTCTCCACTGATCTGTGTTGTGATTTCTGTATGATTACAATCGCTTTTTATAGTGAAAATCAGCAAATTGGCCGAGCTCCGCTACAACTATGGGAGCGAAGAGGAGTGAGGCAGGGACGAGCTCTGGCTCACCTAAGCCCACAGTAAATGGCTGGAGTGCGGGCACTAATGTAGCGCGGGCACTTAGGTTTTTTTAAAATTATTATTATTGTAAAGGTTTGTTGATGTACCTGAAGAAACAGGAATCAAGCTTATAGACATATTTCTGAATAAAACTAAACTTAATTGTACAGCTATAATTCCCTTTAGGTTAATAATAAAATGGACATTTTCAATTGCCACAAATGTTATTGTTCATATATACAGTACGGAAATACTCAACTTCAATTACTCCTGGGAGTAAAACAACATACCCATTTCTAAAAATAATTAATCAAGAGTCCTAAAAATATCTTACATTGTTATATTATCTTATACTGCTATAAAAATGATGTTTGAACAAGATGTTAAAAAAAAGGAGAATTGACAGCTTTGATTTGCTAGTTTTTATTAGAATTAAAAAAAACACAAACATTTTCAGGACATTGATTAAAAAGAAAAACAGAACATCTATTTATTTATTTAAAGATTTTGGTTTAAAATGTTGAGCATTCATCAATCATGCCTCAATGTATTTAAAAATGATTTTCAGATTCAAAAAAATGTCAGTGAGTTAAATGAAAATTATAAACACACAATAAAAAAGTATAACAAAATATAAACAATAACAATAAACAATCAATTTGTTTTTTTACACTGAGACTTTGAATATAATGTTTAAAGCTGTAATTAAAACATGATCACATTTTCAGAACATTTAGAAATCTTACAGGCTAAAATTATGATCTGATGATCATCTGTTTCTTATCCTGATTATTTCAAAGAGATCTAGACGGACAGTGAAGTCAGAATAAAGTCTGAACAACACTCCTGAGCATCACAGAGGAATCTCAGTTTGACAGATTTTGATATCAGCCGTTTTAGCATCACCAGCTTTTCCAATACTGAAATATGGGAAGAGTTCCTCAGTGAAAGTGTCTCTGTGAGTGTAGATGTGAGTCATGCCTTCAGGGTCGTAGAAGGACACCTCCCCCCTGTCATAGTCCAGCTGGACTCTGATCCTCTGGAGATTCTTCTCCACTCTGACAGTCTCACCAGCACCATTAGTGTATTTTCCACTGCGATGTACTAAACACCAGATTCCATATTTTGGTGAGAGAAATATCTCTCCCTTCCTGTCAGCTGACTCTTTAGTCAAACCTATATTCCATTCAGGATGATCTCCAACCTCCACCTCCCAGCTGTGTCTCCCTGAGCTGAAGCCCTCAGAGCCCAGAACATCAGGACCGTTAGTGAATCTCTCTGGATTACCAGGAAGCTGCTGATATGTGTCTCCACGTCTCACACTGGTCAGATCAACAGACAGAGAGAGCCAGCTGCTTGCAGTGTTTGGGTCCAGAATGACAGGACTGAAGTGGACCTGGTCCTTCATCTTCTCCCAGACTCTGAAGGACAGGTTGCCCAGGTGTTTGGCCACATCTATCAGCGCTCCTGGGAGCAGCTGTGGGTCTGACAGTGAGCTCTGGACTCTGGCTCTGCTCTGAGTGGCTTTATAACTGCTGAGGAAGGGCCCGTTGTGTTTCTGCAGCTCTTCTTCAACAGCAGAGATACTGTGTGACAGAGAGGAGATGTGCTCCTGAATGCTCTTCATCTCTCTGCTGATAGTCTTCCCTTTCTGCTCCTCTTCCTCCCTCAGAGCTGCCAGTCTGGACTCCTCTTCCTCTTTCAGGAACTGATGGAGCTTGATGAACTCTGCTCTGATCTGCCTCTCTGTGGACAGCAGCTGCTTCTTGGACACTTGAATCACTTCATTGTATGTTGTCTCCACTCCTTTGTATTTGTCCCTCTTGTCCTGCAGAGACTCTAAGTCAGAGTTCAGCAGGTCCTTCAGCTCACTGACTGCTTGTTCTACAGGAACCACCTGTGACTCTGGTGGAGAGAAAACTCACAGACAGGACACACAGCTCTCTCTTCATCCTTACAGAACAATCTAGGCTCTTCTTGATGTTTACTACACACCACCTCCACCTCTCTTTTTTCTGTCTCAGATGATCCAGCTTCTGTCTCTCAGCAAAGGAGTCAGACAGATCCTTTAGTGTAAAGTTCACCGCAAGACCTTTTGAAGATTTTCTTTTACAAATAGGACAGTTTTTGTTCTTACTTTGTTCCCAGAATGTCTGCAGGCAGCTCGAACAGAAGCTGTGGCTGCAGCCCAGAGACACAGGATCTCTGAAAGTCTCTGAACACACATGGCAGCTCAGGAAACTTTCAAAGAGGGTTTTTCTCAGCCATTTGTCCTGTTGTCTTTTTAAAGCAAAACTCACTAAGGTATGTCCTTTCTCTTGAGCGTTTCAAATCCTCCAAAGTGTCTCCCAGCAGAGATCTCACACCCTGTAATGGCGTCTCCGCTCTTTTCAACAATGTCAAAATCCTCTTTCGTTTTCTCTGCCCTCTGTCACAGGATGATTGATCAACAACAGGAAATGCTGCTATGTCATGTATTCACCAGCAGATGGAGTCAGGATGTCTTTCAGAGGGAAATGAACTTTGGTATTCAGTTCAGGACAGGACTTGTCCAGGTATCTGTTTAAAAACACATACGATTTAATACCATGAAAAAAAACAACATAGGAAAGAAAGGAAATGCTAATATATAAAAGTTTGAAGAACTATTTTTGTTCTTACTTTGTTCCCAGATTTCTGCCGGCAGCTCGAACAGAAGCTGTGGTTGCAGCTCAGACACGGGTGTTTCTCAATGTCGAGTAAAGCTGCTCCAGAGCCACTATTTCAAGCATACTACGTCATCGAGTGCCGCCGAAGGACTGTTCCAATGTCCAGCATAGGCTACTTGGAATTCTACCGAGGGCACACATCCTCTCCAATATTCAGATACACTCAAAATGTCCCCCCCAATAAATAGCAAATACATTTTTATTGTTTTTATTAAAATAAAATTGCTATTCTATGACTTTTTATTTTGCCTATTTGTATACTTGAACATCTTTATTTTCTGTTATTGTGAACTTCACCAAAATTATATATCTTTTCATATGTAAATTGGTTCCGCCTTGTTTGTTTATGCATTCCTTTATTTTGTACCCGGGGGTGTATTTTGCTGTCGCACGTCTGAGTCCAGCTTCAGTTAGCTTGATGCTCCAAGCAGGTCAGTCATGTTTTAATTTGCCCTGCATCGGTTCTGGTATATTTTCTAGTTAGCCCTAAAGTAATCTATATTGTTTTATTTCGTAATGGTAGGGACCGCGGGTGTCGCTTCGTTTGCTGTTCCTTCACTTTATTTTATATATATTATTTTGGATGAAAACTTAGCGTGAGGAAAGGCATGTGTGGCGTGAGTGCGTGAGATATGTGTTAATTGCGTGACTCTCACGCTCAATGTGTGAGGGTTGGCAGCCCTGACTATAAGTCATGATAATGATATGTGTACCATGGGATCTGTGTGAGGCTGCGGTCTCTTCTTGCTGACTTGAGCTTGCTGCGCCACACGATGGCGTACTTCCTCTTGAAATCGTAGAAGGCTCTCCTCAGTCTCCCTCCTCTTCTCTAACTGGATCTCTTCAGTGAGCAAAGCAAGAGCCTGAATCAAGACATGGGAAAACAGGTTGGACACTGTTACGGCCTGGCTCATAGGCTGCAACAAAGATGGGAGACTAGACAAGTTAAGTGTAACAAAAAGCATATTTATTTACAATACCATAAAAACCAAAGGTCTTCAAAGAAACCTAATAAATGTGGAAGTCAGTTATCGGTAATGATTGCGTGTATGGGTGTGTGAAAATGTGCAGAAACAAAGATGCGGCCGTGTCCAACAGAAGAGTGAGAGCGCAGTATGGGTTGGTGTTGGCCTTTTATGTAGACGGCCCAGGTGTGGCTCATCGGGTTGATCACCTGAAACACAAACAAGAGCCAGCAAGCAGAACACAAAGGCATAGACCCATAGTGGAGTGGAGGGGGTCATAACAACACCCTTAGGTTAAGTCAGGACTCTCAATTCATGTGAACGTGAAATGTATCAAGCGTTTTCATTTAATTAAAAGTGATTTGGATTTCCTGGTTTCACCTTTTTAAATGTACATATTTGTCTATGATATCAAAGTAAATATCTTCGGGTTTGACTGTTGGTCGCACAAAGTAAGCAATTGAATATAGACGGTTCTGAGTCCAAATAACATTATTGATTAATGAATAGAGAATATAAATCAAGAAGAAAAGCCCATGTCAACACTACATCAAAGTACCCTTAAGATTTACAACATTTTGCAAGTAGTCTAGATACTTAAGTATAATTTTGATATATTTACATACTAACTAATTATAACTAGTGATTATTGTGCATAACTAGTAATATTGCAAATATGGGAAAGTGGACCTCATTTAGTGGAGTAGTTTAATCTCCTTGATTTATTAGTATTAATCTGAATCTGCAAAATAACTAATAGGCTACTGTCAAAATACAATGTGAGGTTTAAGTTGAATAAAAGTACAGTAGCCTACCTCCTCGGTAAATGTACTTATTTACTCTTCCCTTCTCAGTGTTGCTACTTTTACTGAGGTTACTTTACATTAATTTCGACTTTTTGAACCAACTGGTCTGGACCGGTCATCACCACCACTAACGGTCTCTTTCGACAGCCTAGCAACAGTACAAGCTATTAGCAACGGTCTCTTTCGACAGCCTAGCAACAGTACAAGCTAGCTTAGCTCTTTAACATTAATGCCAAACTCACAGATGGGTGCTCCATAAAGTCGTGCTCGCTCTCCACCCAGGCTCCCACCACCACAGCATGGTTCCTCTCGGCCAGCACCTTGTTGACTCCTCCTGGGGGCTCTTTGCTCGGCCGGCAGGAGCTCTGCACCTGCCGCTTGTCGACGTTTTAAACCTGCTCATTGGAGACGTTAGCCTGATGCTAGCTCACTGACAACTATCTTCTCTGTACACAGTTCACTGGGTTATTCATTGACGTTAAGTAATGGCGGTTTTCAATGTTATACTTTGCACACTAGTCGTTAACTTTCTTCAAACAAAAGAAAGGAATATAAATCCTTGTTGCGTATGTAAAAGCTAAGTAAACAGCAACTGGTTTGTTTGAGTTTCGCTCACTTTAGTATCCGACGTTGAACGAACAGCTTAACGGCGCATTACTGCCCCACCTGGACAAGAGGAGATGTTGTGTTAATACTACAAAACCTATACTGTTTTTAATTAGTAACTTAGTAAGTCAAACTGTAGCTATCTATTTATTTTTAAAAGTTTGGATAATTGTTAAATATTGTAGAGCCGATGAAAGGGAGTCAGAGGCGGTGTGTTCAGTATGGAACTCCACACTTTATTTTCCATTTAGCATGAAGACAAGGTGCACATCTGCTTGCTACTGCATGTCAAGCTAGCATGACAACCTACACACGGTACCGTATTTAACCCGTATTTATCGTGTAAAATGTCGCTGTTTAGGCATGACTTTATCGAACTGATCTGTACACAGGACTGATGTGCGATCTCTATTTTTCAAAAAGATTATAGATTTCTATTAGATTTGACTTGGAGAACGTGGTTTGTTAAAATAAATAAAGGTGCTATTTTATGATAATACTCAAGATATTATAAATCAAATCAAGTTTTATTTTTATAGCACATTTATAAACGATTTTTGGTCGAGCCAAAGTGCTGTACATATAATAAAAATAGCCTACAGTAGAGACACTTTACAGCAATACAACAGCACAGATTGTTCAGAATATCAGTATGAGAAAAACGACACTCTATCCTTAGACCCTCTGTCCTTAGACCCTCACATCGTACACGGAAACACTTCCAGAGAAAACCCACAGTTTAAGGGAACATGGGAGAAACCTCAGGGAGAGCAACAGAGGAGGGATCCCTCTCCCAGGACGGACAGACGTGCAATAGATGCTGTGTGTAAATCGAAGAGATAATACATTTACAACATATACACCGAATGTATAAGTAAATATTGACAACTTATTGACATTAAGATCTATCATTATTGACCAGAGGTGGGAAGTATGCTAACTAATGAGGCTGTTTTATTACAGCTTTAAATCACACAGCTGATCAACAACTGGATCAGCAGGTTTGAACTAACTCAAGACAAAGTATCAAAGTGAATACATGTGTGTTTTGCAGGAAAGTATGTAATGCATTCCTCTTTTTGTTTTGAATCTACTTTGTATATATTATAATGCTGCAGTGGAGTTTGAGAAAGGTAAATGTGACTCCTGACTGTTCTAAGTGAGAATCAAAACAGCTCCATCAAATGAAACCCGTTGCACAGCTCCAGTATGCCATGCTTTACCCCTCACATGTTTTCTGCTGACTCTCCTTCATCAGGGTGGGAGCTTCTTTGCTTACAGCAGGTTCATCCGTCACATGACTTCACACAAGGAGACATAGATTTCAAGAGTTTGGCTGTCCATTAATGTAAAGGGTAAAAGAGATTCATGGAGGGATGCAATGCATTGAATAAGAGATTATCATAAAATGTTAAGATTTGTTTAAAATTATTTATTATTGTAAAGGTTTGTTGATGTACCTGAAGAAACAGGAATCAAGCTTATAGACATATTTCAAAATAAAACTAAACTTAATTGTACAGCTATAATTCCCTTTAGGTTAATAATAAAATGGACATTTTCAATTGCCACAAATGTTATTGTTCATATATACAGTACGGAAATACTCAACTTCAATTACTCCTGGGAGTAAAACAACATACCCATATCTAAAAATAATTAATCAAGAGTCCTAAAA